GGGGGGGGACAGGCTGAGGGGGGAGCTCTGAGTCCTCCCCCGGGGCTCCGCCCTCCCGCCGGGCCCCTCCCCACCTCCTCCCCCGGGGCCCCACCCTCCCACCAGGCCACGCCCCGCCTCCTCCCCCGGGGCCCTGCCCTGACTCCTGCCCCCAGGGCCCTCCCGCCGGGCCACGCCCCCTCCCCAGAGTCCCCACCCACCCCTGTGGGCCACACCCCATCACCAGGCTCCCCCCAGCCCTGCCCACTCACCGTCTCAATGGCAGCTGCCTCCGCCTTCAGCTTGGCCTGTTCCACGGCCGCCTCGCCCGCGATCCGCGCCGCCTCCGCCTTGGACTGGGCCTCGGCTCGCGCCGCGCCAGCGCTCTCCACTGCCGCGCTGGGTGGGGCCAGATAGAGTCACAGACCCCCACGTCCACCCCCCGGGTCTCCCGGATCCCCCCCCCCCGGCCACTGATCCCTCCCTGCCACCGATCCCCCGATCCCTCCCCTGGCCACAGACTCCCCCTGATCCTGTCCCTTGCCACTGACCCCCCGCGACACCCTGATCCCGCCCCCGGCCCCACCAGATCCCTCCCCTGGCAGCTGGCCACCCTTCCCCCGACCCCCCGGTCCCCCCAACCTCAGTGCCTCCAGCTCCAGCAGCTCCTTCCGGGCCCGCTCAGCCTCCGCCTGGTCCAGGATTTTCTGCCGCTCCAGCCGCCCCCGGGCCTCCTGTTCCAGCCGCTCGGCCTCGTGCCTGGGGGAGACGGGCTGGGGTGAGGGGGGCTGGGGCAGGGCTAGGGGGGGAGCCGGCCCCGGGGGAGCCCGTACCTGGCGGCCGCCTCCTGGGAGTTGGTGGTGATCTCGATGGCCAGCTGGACACTCCGCTGCAGCGCGTCCCGCGTGCGCTGGTCCACCGGCTCCACGCTCTGGATGTCCACGCTGCTCACCACCAGCCCGTTCTGGGGGAAGCGCAGGCAGCTCCGCACCTGCAGCTCCGCGTCGAAGCCGAACACGGCCGAGCAGATGATCCGGTTCGAGTTCTGGGGGCAGGGGTGGATTGTGGGGCGCTGGGGGAGCACCCAGAACCCCCATATTCCCCCGCCGCCAGCCTGGCAGGTACAACCATGGGAGCCAGACGCGTGGCCAGCCCAGGGACCCTCCCGGGAAGCGCCGAGCCGTGGGGAAGTGGCGGACGGGGGCCCAGCTCCAGGCTGCACCCCAGGGGGTTCGGGACATGGGAGCCCAGGGCTGAGCCGGGAGGAGGCAGGCCTGGGGGGGGGGGGAG